CCTGTGGGGCCTTGCCGCTCAGCTCTCCCGCCTGTAAAGTAGGAGTGGTAACGGTCACATCGCAGGCTTGGGCATGAAGCTTAAATGGGATAACACAGATCAGAGTGCTTTTAGAACATTGAGTCCTGCACAGGATGCAAGAGGTGATGTGGCCACCCCTGCAGAGCACACGGCGTCGTGTCGTCCGGACGAGCCCTAAGGGTGCCGGGAGCGGGAAGGAGCTCGTGTCGCTGCGCAGGGCGCCGTTGGCTGGGCTGCACCTGTGGCTCAGGGTGGGGCTCCACGCCCACTGAACACGGTTCCTGCCTGTGCGGAGAGGGCCCTGGTCGGGTGGAGAGGCAGTAGAAAATGTGTTGGCGATACAAGGATAGGTTGTTTTTCTAAGGAATCGGTTTTCTGTGTGTTTAACAAGGAAACACGCTGTGCAAAGGCTCGTTGATGAAGTGGTTGATTTCGTTCCACGCGTGACCATGTGGGGTTTGAAGGAGCACGTGTGTGTGCGCTGCATGGCCGGGAGTGGGCTGGATTTGAAGGAGGGAGTGTCTTCATCTGGAGCTTATAGGAGAAAGGGAGATGTTCGCAGCACTCTTTTTTAAGATTTTATTTATTTATTTGACAGAGAGACACAGCTAGAGAGGGAACACAAGCAGGGGGAGTGGGAGAGGGAGAAGCAGGCTTCCCGCGGAGCAGGGAGCCCGATGCGGGGCTCGATCCCAGGACCCTGGGACCATGACCTGAGCCGAAGGCAGACGCTTAACGACTGAGCCACCCAGGCGCCCCTCGCAGCACTTTGAGAATGTTCAGGTCAGCACACTCGTGTTGTGTGTGTGCCGTGTGCCTGTGACATGGTGTTGCAAGCTGATTCTGAACCCTGGGCAGATTCCTTAGCCTCTCTGACCCTCAGCCTCCTCATCTGTAACATCCTGCCTGTTTCAGCCAGCAGACTTCCACAGTAGATGATTTGGTAAGAAAGCTTTGTAAAGTACCGTGTAGTTGACTTTGTTTTGGAAGCAAGACTGGTGGGGAGCTTTTCTTGCCATTTTAACTGTGCCTGGGCAGAGAATCAGGGCAGGCCTCCCTATGGGGGTGACATTTGTGTTGAAATCGATGAATAAAGCAGCAAGTACAAGTCAGAGGAAAGTGTGTTCCACCCAAGGAAGAGCAGGTGCAAAGGTCCTGGGGCAGGAATGCGCCTAGACTTGTCTGTGGCTTGGGGGAGGGGGGGAGTGAATGAGGAAGAGATGATGAGGGTACAAGTGCAGTGAGGTACGCCATCTGGAAGGTTACAAGGACACACAGGAGGTGATCTTGCCTGCAGATGTGCATGCCTTGCTGAGGGCTAGGCCACCCCCTGGGGCCCCTTCCAATAGGTTAGAATTTGAAGAATCACATAGCTCAATCTTGATCAGAATGTTTGCTTTCTTATCATGGGAACACAGTAGGTGGGAACAGCTGGCAGATACTGGGGCCTGGAGGCGGGGTGGGGGGTTCTGCCTAGAAAGCGAGCAGCCCAGTCAGCACAGTAGGTCTGGAGGGGGTGTGGGAGCCTGGCTACTGGTGGCTGCCTGGGGACACAGACTTTATCCGGCGTGTGCTCAGAGCTGGGCGCGTGGACGTGACCGCTGCGTCACACAGTCATGGGGGCGGGGGGCTGTGCTGCAGAGCTGCTTTCGAGGCCTTACTCTGGTCTGGGGCTGTGGTCTGAGCCTGGGGCGCGGGTGCCGGACAGCCTGACAGCCTCCAGTTCTCGGGGGCATAGCAGCACCCGATGCTGCCTTCAGGGTTGCCGGGTTGTTGACGGCAGGGCTGACAGCCGTTCTTACCTCCACACGGGAAGCCAGTGTGTTCACACTGTCTCTCGCGCCGTGTTAGACTCAGAAGGGTTATTAAAATGTGGCTGGTGCCGCCATGGCCTTGGGTTGGTCAGGATCACTGTCATCTGCAGCGTCACGACCTGTGGTATCTGTTTTGTGGAGTGCTGTTTGGAGCCTCTCTACACCGGGGACTCCAGGAGGGTGGAAACCAAGCAGAGCACAAGTAGCCGCAGGGTGCACGCGCACTAGACAGTGTCTGCCAGCGCCCTGCAGACGGGGGTGGGGATGCATTCGCTTTTGTGCGTGAGACACACTTAGTAAGAAGAATCTGAAAAACAAAAGAAGTCAGACCAAGTCCCACCATGAAAACCAAACCATAGCGAACATCTTGGAGTGCATTCTTTCCATTTTTCTTCCCTGTTCCTGGTCTGGCTTGATTATTCATTGATTCCACCAAATGCTCAGTGTTAGCCCTTGGGGCAGTTCTTCATTTTCTTACATACTTTTTCTGGGCAGTGGGTGCTTTTGTTTTTTTAAGCATGCAATGACAATGTGTCATGGAAATTCCCAGTAAACAGTGAAACCCTGTGTTTGTGAGACAGGGACGAGGTAGCCAACAGGAGGCGTTTTGGCAAGATGAATGGGAAGAGAAGCGAGGATGACAGGCTGGGGAAGGTTCCCCCAGCAGGGCAGTGGAAACCGCCGTGGGGGGCGCCGTGTGCAGGGTGGGGGCCGCCACCGTGGAGGGCACCGTGTGCAGGGTGGAGGGCGCCGTGTGCAGGGTGGGGGGCGCCGCCAAGGAGGGTGCCACGTGCAGGGTGGGGGCCGCCACCGTGGAGGGCGCCGTGTGCAGGGTGGGGGGCGCTGTGTGCAGGGTGGGGGGCCGCCGCCAAGGAGAGTGCCACGTGCAGGGTGGGGACCGCCACCGTGGAGGGCACCGCATGCAGGGTGAAGGGTGCTGTGTGCAGGGTGGGGGGCCGCCGCCATGGAGGGCGCTGTTGGCACGGCGCTGAGCTGCATGCTCTGGGCCATCTGCTGCACTAATTGGATGAGAGTATTAACTGTTCTTCCTTAGTTCCATGTAATTCGAGACTCCAGAAAGATGTGACCGGTGGTTCAGGAAGGTTCCGTGATTCTTGTTTCGAGCCATCTGAAATGGCCTCGGGACAGGAATTGGTTTCAAGGAGGCAACGTGAGCCGAACAGTATTTGGTCATTGGTGGTGAAAGCCAGCTGCAGCTTTTTTCCACTTGATTCTTCCCATCACGTTGATATTGGTAAACGTTTTTGCAAGGACAGAAGAGGAAGGTGAGGATCTTTTAGCACAAGTGGTGCGTTAGATGGGAAACTGGCAGCTATGGTCTTGGCCATGTCTAAGAGTGCTCGTGTGGTATGGATCTCGTCATGGCCAGTGTCTTCTCTCCTCCCAGGCACGTGTTTAATGGAACCTCTGAAGTTCCAGATCATAGCCAGTACCCAGATCAAACTTGAGTGATGTGCTTTTTAACCAGACTACTGCTTTAGACTGGTGGTGTCCTGTGAGGACCCATAGCAGCACAGGGCCTCCTCAGGGTCTCAGTGAGACACCCGTGAGCCCCCATGCAGCACTCCCTTGGCTGCAGGAGACCAGGAGCGGCCCCGCCCACCCGCGGGGCGGCCCCGTGCCTCCAGGCCAGTGTCTGGGGCGCCTGGGTCCCGCCTGGGGCTCCTTGGCGGTGAGTGTTGTGCCGCTGTCCGCAGACGGCTGTGCTCCTCTGCCCTGCTTCCCCAGGTGCCCCCCCGAGCAGCTTGGAGATGTTCGGCGGTATCAACCGGAACATCCTAGGGAAAGGGAGCAAATCTTTTAAAGAGAGAAGCTCACTTTTTAGAGGGTACTGGAGAAGCCGTGCCTTTGAGACTGGTGACCACAGGGCCAAGCCAAGCACTCGTCTCCCTGTGTGCACTGCGCCTCAGGGTTGCTGTGAGCTAGGCTCCTCTGTGCACGAGTGTCCTGTCCATACATGATGCAGGGGTGAGATGACATGCCGCCCACGTTCGGTGGGGGGTGCTGTTGGGAAGAAGGGAGTGAGCCAGAGGTCACCTACCCACAACAGCAGCTGGGAAGCCATCTCCCCAGAGCATCAGGCTCGAGTCACCGTGCAGGTGCACACAGGTTGCAGGAGATGGGGCGCAGAGGTGCCGTCAGCACGGCCCCGACGGTGGGGGCACCCAGGGTCTTCGACAGGGAGTGCGAGGGGTAGCGGAGCAGTGGACGAGAAGACACACCACAGTCGCAGCCTCCTGACCGGTGAAACTTAGGGAGATGCGGACCCTGAGTAGAGCGTGTGTGTGCGCGTGTGCGTGTGTGTGTGTGTGTGTGTGTGACCGTAGCCACCGCCGGCTGTGTGTGTGTGTGTGTGTGTGAGAGTCGGTGTGACCGTAGCCACCGCCGGCTGTGTGTGTGTGTGTGTGTGTGTGTGTGTGTGTGTGTGTGTGAGAGTCGGTGTGACCGTAGCCACCGCCGGGCTGTGTGTGTGTGTGTGTGTGTGTGTGTGTGTGTGTGTGTGTGTGTGTGAGTCGGTGTGACCGTAGCCACCGCCGGCTGTGACCTGGCAGCAGGGAAGTTCTGGGAGCGGGCCACCTGGCCGGAGCTGGTATGACCTTGTGATATTCACATGTGGCGACATTCCCACGAGAAAACCTTTAAAGATAGGCAAAATACATATTTAAAACTGCTCCTGTTCTACTCCCAGGACCAGAGACCACATTCAAGGGTCTGGCGGAGGCGTCCAGGGAAAGTAGAAACCACTTCCCAGAAAGACCGCGGCTCGGACGCTGCAGCCTCGGATTCTCATTTGCACGAGTGCCCCCGGGAGTGTCGTCGCTACACGTGCAGGGCCGGGGCTCTCCATCTGCAGGCGCACTCCCGGCGGCCCAGCACAAGGCCAGCACGGTGGCTTCCGTCCGGCAGGGCCGTGCTCCATTAGGAGCACCCTCATTAGGCACCCTCAGCAGAAGTCCGTCCGCCGTGTTGTCCATGATGGGAGACACCTCCAGCCCATGGAGGCTTTGCCCGCCTCTCCCAGCCTGACGCAGGAACGCTCTGTGCACGCGAGGGCTGGATCCATGACCTGGGGGAGGCGTGGGCTGGTGGCCCACGTGGATGTGGGCCCAGACCCACACTGAAGGTCACGCTCCTGCTTTCCAGACTGGGCTGCTGCCATCCGTGTTGCCGCCCTGGACTGCGCGGAGGAGGAGAACCACGAGGTGTGCCGAGCCTATAACATCCACTTCTACCCCACCTTCCGGGTGAGCACCCCTGCCCTCTCCCGCGGGCCTGCTCTCCTCCCACCCTGTCTCTCCTCTCTTTCCACTGGAGGGGCGCCTTCCCGTGACATTCACTGCGTGTGTAACTCCTACACTCGGGCACATGGGGCACGTGACTTGGGACTTAGCAGGAACTCATTTACACGGGGTCACCTTTCGCGTTCCGCGCTCTTGGGTTGTGCATGTTGCCGGGGCTAGGGGGCTGTATGTGCACACCCAGCCCCCCACCCCACGGCAGCAGCAGAGGAGGGCGAGGTCTGCAGCCTGTAGGCCCGGTGGGCGTGGGCATGCTCGGGGCTGCCATCGGGGCCGTGGGCCAGGTGTCTCCTCCCCAGCCCCCTGCGTGTGTGGCCCATGTCAGGCTCGGCGCCGTTGGCTCACCATATATGCGGTGGGTCGGGTTGTCAGAGTGACACCTGGCGGGTACCTGTGGGTGGCCCTTCAGGCAGGTTTTACCCTTTCTTCCCCTGTGGGCAGAGAACAGACAAACCTGTTGAGAAGATTCTGAAGAAACACGTGCAGGGTGTGTGCTCACATGCGTGTGTGCGCTTGCGGTCCCGTGCGGGCGCACGGGCGCCTCAGGGCGGTGTTTACACCCCAGAAACCATGCAGCCTCTGCGGAAGCTTGCCCCCTGCTCCAGTCTTCCTAAAACCCTGTGCTCTGTGTGGCTTGCAGCCCAATGCTTTCCAGCTGCTTACGTGGCTGGGCTTTGTGGCAGCCATGCCTCCACCCCAGCCAGTGATGCTCCTCTGGAGTTTTGCATAACTCATCCTCGGCTTCCATGTCTGAGTTTTATTTTGTTTTAGCCGCACACACAGGGTGTTGCGCTCAGTGTGAGCTCCGGGCCTTCTCTCTCGTGCTGAACAGGTGTTCTGAGAGCACCCCGCACCCTTGGCTGTGGCTTCAGTCCCCTAAGAACACCTCCTTGTGTGACTGCGGCCATGTCTTCTGTTCACAGGCCCTGTGTCACCCCATCTGCTCCTTCCGTTTGCCCATTTTGCTCTTGGGTATTTGCAGTTTTCTTAACTGATTCACAGGAGTCCTGTACGCATCCTTGACACTGACTTTTCTTTCAGTTGTGAGAACTGAGAGTGTCCTCACCTGGTTTGCAGTTCTCACCTTCTTCAGCATCTCTTCTAGAGAAGGTTTTTAATTTTAATAGTTTCTTTTCTTCTGCTCACCCTCCCTGTAAGTCGTTTGTGTCGCTCGAGCCTACCGTTAAGATACGTATTGATGTCGCGAATCAGGGAAAGCGCCCACTGCGCGGCCTGGCTTCCAGCCCTGTTGGGTCAGGAAGTGTAGCTGACAGAACTCCGACGGGTACTAACCACACCCAGTGGGTCTGCTCAGAAACACTGATGTCGCAGACGTGCACAGAAATGTGCGGCTCCTTATCAGTCAACGTGAACTTTCTGGAGCAGATTGACTAAACTCTCACTCTTTAAGATGGTGGCCGTTTTCTTGCTTACAGATGAAACGTTTGCACAGACACCAAGTCACACTTGTTTCTTACTTGTTCTGTGTTTTTCCTCTTAGTATTTCAAGGCATTTACAAAGGACTTTACAACTGGAGAAAATTTTAAAGGTAAGGACAAGCTTTATATTTTACTGTCAGAGTCACCTCATAAACCCGTTAAAGCAAAGGTGGTTTCAGGAGACCAGAGAGCCCATGTGATGGGGTCTGTGGGGCCCCTACCCCAGCTTCAGCGAATCTGCATCAGCACCTCTGACCCATCTTTCCTCGAAGAGCTCAAACATTTGTAGTTTCGGCAACAACTTTTTATTCTGTGTTTTGCCTTCCTTGTTAAATTTGATGGTGAAATCTCTTTTTTTTAAGTAAGCTCTTTTACTCAAAAAAGATTTGGAGAAGGTCACAAACCACATGCTCACCTAATGAATTTTATGAGCGAGCCCCCCGGGGAGCCAGTGCTCATCTCAGGCTCCGATGTGCTACCAGTCAGTCCACGGTGACGGCTGTTCTCCATTAGGGTCGCCAGGCATGTTTTGAACTTGGCGTAGATGGCAGCGAGGCGCTCCCGGCCTCTGTCATCACGCTGTGTGTGTGAGATTGGCCCCCGGTGCCCATTTGTTCCCACGCGGGTCGCTGTGTGGTCTGTCGTGTGCGCCTGCCGCGGTCTGTGGATGGCTATCGGTGCATCCTGCCGTGTCTGTGCCGTGCCCTCCGAGGCCCTGGGGCGGTGGCGGTCCATAGGGCAGACGTAGTGGTGATGGCGGCTTGCCTCCCCGCAGGGCCCGACCGAGAGCTGCAGACTGTGAGGCGGACAATGATCGACTTCCTGCAGAACCACACGGACGGAGACAGGCCTCCTGCTTGCCCGCCTCTGGACCCCGTTCGGTGCGTAGTTGCGTGAAAAAGGGAATGTTAGGACTTGAATTTAATGTTGTAAAATATGGTTTTGCATTAAGTGATGTGGGTGCTGGTGTATGATGGCCAGCTCGCCGTTCTCAGAAGCACTAAAAGCCGCGTTGTTTCTCTTAAAAGGCCCAGTGACATCCTTTCTCTCATGGACAACCGTGATAGCCGTTACGTGGCCGTCCTGTTTGAGAGCAACAGCTCCTATGTCGGCCGTGAGGTACTGTGTCTGTGTCTTGCCCCGTCTCACCGCATGCTGTGATTCGGTTCCCCTGTGGTAATGACCGCTTCCTCCTGATCGGTGGCGGTCCCGTGTTTCGCTCCTGTTAATTCTTGGGATGTAGTGGTGTCACTCAGCGGACTGGCCGGTTCGCAAAGACTGAGAAGGGCCCTCGAGGGTGAAGCAGGCAGGCTCACGGCCTCGTCCTCAGTGTGGGGCTGAGAGGGGCCCCCCAGACCCACCTTTCAGGGCACGCTGCCTCTTTCCTCAAGCCTCTATTTTTTTTCTTTAAATTTTTTATTGTTATGTTAATCACCATACATTACATCATTAGTTTTTGATGTAGTGTTCCATGATTCACTGTTTGTGCATAACACCCAGTGCTCCACGCAGAACGTGCCCTCTTTAATACCTGTCACCAGGCTAACCCATCCCCCCACCCCCTCCCCTCTAGAACCCTCAGTTTGTTTTTCAGAGTCCATCGTCTCTCATGGTTCGTCTCCCCCTCCGATTTACTCCCCTTCATTCTTCCTCTCCTGCTATCTTCTTCTTCTTCTTTTTTCTTAACATATGTTGCATTATTTGTTTCAGAAGTACAGATCTGTGATTCAACAGTCTTGCACAATTCACAGCGCTCACCGTAGCACATACCCTCCCCAGTGTCTATCACCCAGCCACCCCATCCCTCCCACCCCCCACCACTCCAGCAACCCTCAGTTTATTTCCTGAGATTAAGAATTCCTCATATCATTGAGGTCATATGATACATGTCTTTCTCTGATTGACTTACTTCACTCAGCGTAACACCCTCCAGTTCCATCCACGTCGTTGCAAATGGCAAGATCTCATTCCTTTTGATGGCTGCATAATATTCCATTGTGTATATATACCACTTCTTCTTTATCCATTCATCTGTCGATGGACATCTTGGCTCTTTCCACGGTTTGGCTATTGTGGACATTGCTGCTATAAACATCGGGGTGCACGTACCCCTTTGGATCCCTACATTTGTATCCTTGGGGTAAATACCCAGTAGTGCAATTGCTGGATCGTATGGTAGCTCTATTTTCAACTTTTTGAGGAACCTCCATACTATTTTCCAGAGTGGCTGCACCAGCTTGCATTCCCACCAACAGTGTAGGAGGGTTCCCCTTTCTCCGCATCCCCGCCAACATCTGTCGTTTCCTGACTTGTTAATTTTAGCCATTCTGACGGGTGTGAGGTGGTATCTCATTGAAGTTTTGATTTGGATTTCCCTGATGCCGAGCGACGTGGAGCACTTTTTCATGTGTCTGTTGGCCATTTGGATGTCTTCTTTGGAAAAATGTCTGTTCATGTCTTCTGCCCATTTTTTGATTGGATTATTTGTTCTTTGGGTGTTGAGTTTGATAAGTTCTTTATA